TGAAACAACTCCACTAGTTTTTATTATGATTATTGCTATTAATGCTGGCTACGGTGAAGAGGGTTCTAAAATCTCTCACTAGATGTCACTAGCGGCTCAGATAGCCGAGGAAAAAAGCTATTGAGGTACCCTCTTTCCAACAAAAAAGAATCATAGAAATCGGTTCACAAATTTTGGAGTATTTAAAAAGAGTAATAAAAAAAGAATTGAGACCTACTCCTTTTTTTAAGTCGGTTTAAAAACACAGACAGACTCACATCAGAGCGGATGAAGCGGAAAAGATAGTATGAGAGAGGATGATGTTTAGATGTATACAGTATTTTTGTTAAATGGGACAATATGTTGAAATCCGAAACCATAGAAAATACAGGGAAACTGTCCTAGGAACAATTATGCCTTTTTTTGTGAAAACAATTTTGGCATAGTCAATTTTTTGGTCAAGCGTGAGTTGTCCATAAAAATAATAAAATTTATTGATATTTTTTTTTAGTGCTGATCGACTCAGTTTCATGAAGGAACCATTTCGTTGTATGGGACGAAAAAATCGGGTCAGCAGAAGTTGGCCAAATTTCATAAAATATTTATTCATACAAAATGAATAAAATTAACTATTTTTTGAACGCTAATAGACTCAGTTTCTTTAAGGATGACTTCATTGTATCGGAAGAAAAAATCAGGATAGCAGAAGTTGGTGGAGGTAGCTGCTGTACTGATTCTTTTATTCCAATACAATAACATCATTCTAATAAGAAACGGAAATCATCATTAAAAAAAATTGCAAATTTTATTCATTTTGTGTAATTTACCGAACGGTGTAATTTACAGAATTATCAATAAAATTCTTTCACACAGGTTAACTCGCCGAGCGTCGTTAGATGACCTAGAACAACAGTCTTGTGAGCTTGCACCTAAAATCGAGAATCGCATTGTCATCCTCGACAAACCTGAGGTAACATAATAAGCACTATTCAAAAATCCACTCAAAATTCTACTTCCTCTAAAAGCTAACATCAGTTGCTCCATGGATTTGCATTAATACTTGTAGCAGCCACCAGACGTGCCAGAATGTCAAACCCTTGAAAAGGTTGTAACCCTAATGAACTGTGACCTGGTTCACGGCCGTAAGTGTGAGGCCAGACGTGCGTAATTTTGTGAGTTGCGTAGTTTGCGCTGCATTCGGTTTCATATAAAAGTACGCCTTCTCTCATCTGCCTACTCATGGGCGTAATGTCGACTGACTTTCGGTCACATCGTGGGACGGGCTGGCGCGGGTGGAGGTAGGGGTAAGGGAAGGGGTCACTTTGGTATAAACGCTTTTTTCTTTTTTTACCCCTATCACGATTATTTGAATTATGAATTGTTCGTTTGAAATTTTACCTTGTATTTACAATATTTATTATTATTATTAATATGTACTTTTTTTTAAATAATTCTGCCTTTTTTATTACCACTCAGTAAATAGATGTACGTTGAATGTAATTATCAAATCATTGGCACACTTTGTCACGTCATGATATTTTTTTAAGCTTCTGTGATATCCTGTAATTGGCATTATATACTGGCATCGAGTATACAGGCTGTAAATTTGAGACGGGGCAGCAAGGCCAGCTACCTTAATCGTTGTAGTTACAGGAAAACGGTTCTAGAAGACTATCCATGAATTTTGAATATATTTTGATTGGCATTCACAGATTTTCAAAAAATGGTACAGTCATCAAGATAAAAGGTAATTTATACAAAACTTCTTTTTATGCCATTCGATCCAGTCTCTGGTAAGGATCAATAGTCTCTATGGGACAAACTGAGGTAAGAGTACTCGAAATGTCAGAAATCGCAACAAACTTTTTACCATGCATTTTGTAGGGACATATTTAGTAATCAATTATTCTAGGTAATTAAGGAAGCTAATAAATTAGTCTACAAATAAGAATTAAGTAAAACCAAATTATAATCACATTATTTTTTAAATTTCGAATAGCTTTGTTTTGTTTTGTTAATAGAGAATTGTCACTTTTAATACGATTTTTAATCAAAATGTTCTCAAATGTGGAAACAAATGAATTCGAGTAAAATTTCAGCCGCTACTTGCTCTTTGCGGAAGAGAGCGAATAATCGAAGGCGGTAATCAATTCTAGCACTTACTATCATAGAATTTTTATGTTATTTTGCGTTTCGTTATTGTTTTTATTTTGAAATACATAATACGTATACAATTTATTAATTTCCTTAACTACCTAGAATAACTGATGACTAGATATGTCCCTACAAAATGTATGGTAAAAAGATTTTTGCGATTTCTGACATTTCGAGTACTCTTACCACAGTTGGTCCAATACAGACTATTGATCCTTACCAGAGACCGGATCGAATGACATAAAAAAAAGTTTTGTATAAATTGCCTTTTATCTAGCTGACTTTACCATTTTTTCAAAATCTCTGAATGCCAATCAATATATCTTCAAAATTCATGGATAGTCTTCTAGAACCGTTTTGCTGTAACTACAACGATTAAGGTAGCCGGCCTTGCTGCCCCGTCTCAAATTTACACCCTATATAACCAGTACACTGATCATGTA